AACATAAGGTCCTCATAAAGTGAACCCACAAAGGACAGAGAAAAAGGAGTCGGAACTTCTACGAGCCTAATAAACGACTGTTGAGCTACGATAACTTTGATTAGGCTCGGCAGCATGCTAGCTTTAATGACGATTTTAATTATGCCATGCCACCTTGGCATTTGCCAGTTATAATCGTTGCTCTATGAACCCTGTGAAAGTCTTATTTCAAAATTGAGACAGGTGTAATCGCCTATTTATCGCAATAGGACAAAAGCGTTGCGTCTTGTTTTAGGATAGCGCACAGCGCCTTTCTTCACATTGAAGCAGCAACCCCAGATTAGGTTTTTTCGAGCAATCTAGTATTCTCTGGGTAGGACAGAGTAGCCCGCGAGTTCACAGCTGCAAGGTAGTTGCGACTCAAAAGTGCGCGACAGCGCTACAGGGACTAGGATCTCACAAGGTGAGTTACTGAGGGCTAATTATTGTCCGGCCCTGATTTACCCCTCTGTTATAAAGAAATCAAGTTTTCATTAGGTTGCGATATGGGTTTTCAATAGACATTTTCCGGGAAATTTCTCCTCGACTGCTGCACTGTTGCACATTGATGAAAAGCTAGTTTTATTCTCTTTATTACCCCGCTATTGTTTGGAATAGGTCAGGCTTCTGATTCTAATAAAGATTTGAATAGTCCATGTTCGGCTTCTTCGCCTTCGTCAAAGAGTGGAGTGGTCAAAATGTAACTGTAGCATATGTAACTTGCTCGCTATAACGCCCCAACAGAAGCCCAAAACTTTTTCGCTAAACTAGGAACTCAAAGGTATTGAACTATAGAGGTATGAGATTGATTACCTTAAAATCAGTAAGAAGAGACAAGACAAGACAATCAGTAAGACAGTAGAATGACCACCCTCGTACTAACTTCAGGTAAGTGGTAGACCTTCACCGACCTCATAGTAGATGAAAGGTTACGTCGAGGAAGGGTGCGAGTTCGCGGGTTATGGCCACACACTCCTCCTTCCTGTTCATTTGAGGGTCTTTAGCAGTTATCCAAAATGCTTCCAGCGTCTTGCGCGCCGCGACCTCGGGTTCCAGCGCCAATATGGACACGGAACGCCAAACGATGAACCTGCGTGGTGTATAACCCGATGAGCTCCTAGAGGGGGTATGTGTGTGATCTACCCAGCCTCATCCTAGATGAACCCGCACGCACATGGGATGACCTTTTCACCTATATAGTCGATTCTATACAACTTTGACAGCATATCGAGTAGATCACTCCCCGGGGGGAGAGAAACGTTCACCGGCGGCGCGGACGCGAGCGCGTGCTGGTGACGTCAAAATGACGTCGCAGCTGCGGCAGATTCGAAGGAAGGGCGAGCAGTGGCCAGCGCCGCTGCCACTTTGCTTGAATAAAGCTGGGCTTCTGGCACTATACCAACTTGTTCAATCAGTTGTGCCGCGAGAGAAATGATTGTATCATGTTAGGCACCATCCTTGCTTTAGGAACTGAAATTTCTTGAAAATGTAGAGAAAGTCGAGGCTTTCATGTGGAAACTTAGGGTACATTGTCAGTAATTTGAATAAGCTGAGTGTTCTTCGTGTTCGATTCCTGCTTACTTCTATCACATAGTGAAGTAAGAGTACAGTAGATGCTCGGAGTACTTAATATTGAAGTAATGGTGGAAAAGCTGGCCCTTGCTCGCTGTCTCGCCGCCGTTGTGACGTCACCAACACGCGAACGCGTCCGCGCCGCCGGTGACCTTTTCCATGGAGCCTCCTCCCCCTCCGGTTCCTCGTGTGCTCCCCCCCCCCTCCCCCCACCCTTTTCTTTGCCACGAGAGCAGTTGCCACAACCGTTCAGGCAGTGTCGTATACGGTATCATCATGGCGATGCGACAAGAAGCCGTTGTAGGGTATATGAAGGTATTTCGACAATTTTTCAATGTAGAGTACTCGAGGTTCAAAGTGAGGGGATTACGGGAGTCATTCTCTTGTTGGCGACAACATTCTGAATACTCGGCAAAAGAAGATTCTCAAATATTTGTACGGACGGCCAGCAGCACAACTTGAGCAGTCACATCAAGATTATTCGGAGCGCCTGAAGGTACTTGGGAATGTAAGAAAGCTGGACAAATGGGAACCGCATGAAGCTGACTGAGCAACAGCAAAGTCGCTCTTCAGGGATCTCCGTCACAACTCGTTTTACTTAAAAAATATCCGACTTTAGCACATTGCGTCATCCTCGACGAAAAGGAAGTCTTTTCAATAGAATTAACAAATTATTCTGAAAATCTAGGCAGCGACGAGCAACGAGCATTAAAAACTCTTCTAAAGCAGAAGTTCCACAAGGTGAAGACCGCGCTGATCGCTCTGTGAGGTTCCGCAGTAATGATGCCTTATAGCTTCCTGGAATCAACGAGCTTGACAGAGTACCAAGGTCTGTCCATCACACCGGATGCACGGGAAATAGCAAGGTCTGCATCAGGATAATGAAAAGAACCGTTCTCCATGTTCTTTCGAGGTCGTTTCCATCTACATCTCGTATCTCAGCGACAGCTTCTTGGGCAGAGGAAGATTTAAAAACTGAGGCAAAGTGGGAAAGACCTATGAAATTTCCGTACTTTCCATGAGCTCTACATAGGGGCTCATCTTCAGGGACAGTGCTCGTCGCCTACGCGCCTTTACAGCTGTGCTTGATGAGTGAAACGGAATGGCTTGAAACCTATGACATCGCCCACTCTTGTAAACTTCACAGTTGGATATGACTTCATGGAATGGACGTAAGGTATTGCCGTAAGCTACTGCCGTATCTACCTTCCTAATGGGAAGCTTAGTGAAAAGAGGGCACAGTTAATGCAGTTTTGATGAAGCCCTCGATTAAGCTTTTGATAAGATAAGAGTTCCGGTTATTGTTTCCTAGTTTCATTCCGCATTTTTTGTGGAGAAGAAAAGTTCATGTACGTAGGATAAAACACTTGTACATCGGCTGGCCCCCGCAAGTCATTGTATAGGCCACATCGCATTCAAACGCCACTACGAATGTACAAATGGAAGTAGAATGCGTGCCGCATCCCAAAAAGGGATTGATCAACGGCAAATGCTTTATCCTTTAGGGCGGAAGTGGGGTAATGTGTGGTTACATATGACAAAATGTTAGGAAGATTGTGTTCTTCCAAACGACTCCAAAACCATAAAATATTCATGGACAACAACGGAAGAAAGGCAATTAGCCAAAACAAGCAGCAGGTTATATCGCATCACCTTCGTTGGTTTCTTTCACAGTTCTTGCTTACACCTGAAGTATTAAAGCATTCTCGTAAACGGCAAGACACCTGATATGATCTGAAAACAATTAAAATGATTTCTCAGTAGTCGTTGAAGAACAAACACTTTGTTTTATTGACACCTCTCCACCCTAGAGTCATGGTGTCAACTAACGGAGCCCTTCAAATATTCCAATACACAAACACGGTTGTGGCTACTATCTCTACACTCTTGATTCATGGATACATAATACATCGTATAAAATCCAACCGTGCCTCTCTTACGCACTATCAAAATTTTTTGATTGCACAATCTGTAATATATATCTGTGGTTCAGTACTTACAATTGTCATAAATGAGGTATGCTTTGTATAGAACAACAAATCGTATGCAAACATTTGAACGATTTTTCAGCGATTTACTCTTGATAATGAGCGGCAGACTGGTTATCCATTCATTGTCGTGCCCATGTGGTTAACCACTGTAATAATGGTCCTTTCCGTCATGGTGCAAACCGCAGAAAGCATCTTGCTTACCCTTTTTAACGTTCATCGGCTTTTACTCTTTATAAGGTGAGTTTAATTACCGAGTTTAAGTTGACTCAAAGTACTTATGCTGTGTTCACGCTGTATTTGTAGACCTAAAAAGAGTAAACTATTCTTCATTCTGATATCTCCTGTGGCTTTCTCCTCTACGGCATTCACCGGAGTTGCGATCGTTGTTTTTAAAGTACGTCCATTTATACATTCAAAATTGAACAAACGGTTTCACATGCGGACTTTCATACAGCTAGTCCCTAATCAAAAATGCTTCCACGAGGGGTTGAGAATATACAGGGGTGGCCAAAAAAAAGACACTTTGCCCATGGCGCACATCATCGAACTTTTCGTCGCACAGGGAGCCGATGTTAATGAAAGTTTTACGGCGAATATTCCTTAGGTGTTCCCCGTAAGCAGAAGCAGGCCCTCCTTCACTGCCCCACCGTCTTCAGAATATGACGTCATCTGCCGTCACCGTCGAGCTCAACGAGGCTTACCGTAATCGCTCCGGCCTGAAGCTGCTACATAATTTCTTCAATGGATTAACTGTGAATAGCTTCTAGAGACACTAGCTGTGACTGTGCAAGACCGCTTTTGACCAGCGTTTCAGGGACGTCGTAATGGTCTATGGTACCTCGACGACCTCGTTGAGCTCGTACCGTGAACCATGTTTCCGTGGGAAAATCTTCTGATGTCGTCGGTGTAGAAGGCTGTCATGTAACTTTAGATAGATTAGAATGTGCTCTTCAATACAAGTTGGGGCAGTCGATTTGATTCTAGCAAAGTGTGATTAATGCTGTCTGAAATGTGGAGTGAAGTGTCTCTTTTTTTGGCCACCCCTGTATAAAAGAATGACGCCGCATATGAATCTCAGAGGCATCTCACGGCATTTGCTAGCTATTTACACATGAATTACCATTGCTCAATCTTCTCAAAAAATCATTCAACGAAGGACCGACTCCAAGTGGGTCGAAAATTGATCACCAGGAAATCACATCAGGTTAACCCGGCCAAATGAAGTGAGGTGTATATTACTAAACGCTTCCTCTCTCTCACTCTCTCTCTGAGGCACTGGGTACAAATATGCTTCACTGCCTACTAACTGTCTGAACTTATAGTTAGTTACGATTCCATAAAGCGCAGCGGTATTGGTCCGTGCTTACGCGCAGAAGGTAATTGGATTGAATCCACGTCGACGTTGCCATTTTGTCTTCCGGGACAACATACAGCTAGGCTCCCGTGAAATATCGTTTTTAATGAACGATTATTCTAAATATAAAATTAATACTCTATGTGAGTCATTCGCTTTTCACCTTTTGTTACGTAGAGCATGGAGGCCTACCATCGTAGAACTCTTTCAGGTATGACTCGAAAGAGTTGAGTACCCAAATTTTGACATTGTCGCGGTTACTGAATTCTATTTGCTGCTAGGGAGTATTGTATTGGCCTGGTCAGTGATATTCGGACGGCGCCAGTCTGGGCTATATGGCGCTGGAGGCAGAAGCGTCCCAGCCCAACTCCTCGATTTCTTGTTGCGTGATTTTCGCGACATGTGGTCTTGCATTATCGTGCAATAGTTTTACATTGGCCGAATCACCCCTTGACGACGCAGAGCTCGGTCCACGCGGCGGCTGTTGTGCGCAGGGTTCAGCTGTAACTGTCTGACCCACAATCAGCTCTCCATAGTAAGCCAGTCCTATACTGTTCCACCATGCACAAGCAGGACATTCGAAACTGAATCTCCAGTTTCGAAGTCATCCTGAGCTGTACATCTGCTCCCAATCTCTAACTTTGCTATCCGGAGACATCTTATTATGAAGGGCGCTTATG